ACCCACCAGGACCGTGGGGGGGGGGGGGGACAGACAACAGAACAGGAGACTCCCCCTCCCGAAAAAGAAATAAATAACAAAGGTAAACATGGCATTAACAAAAATCTAAACAGAGCCTTCCCCCAACTTCTTAGGCAGAGTTCTTTGTATGGGCGGGAGACTCGCTCTCCACCCCACCGGCCGGGCATGCAAGAGGCCAGCCGGAACTCCAGCAGACACAGCTGAACAGGAGAGAACAGAAAACAGAACGAAACCCCCCCTCCCCTAGCAGCTGATTTGTAAAGCTATAGCTATGGGAGGGGGGAGGACATGCGCTCTTTCTCTCCCCGTGGGTGTGACGGCTCCGGTGAAGCCCCCTCCAAAACACCTGAGGAGGCAGGCAGGTGATGGAGCTCAACATATTGTGTGTGGGAGGAAGGCTGGCTACACAAGAGGAGCAGCAAGGAGCTGTCTCGGGGCAGGGGCAGCAGCAGGGGTGACGGGAGAATCGGGGACCCAGAGGAGCACTCCGTGAGCTGTGCTTGGAAAAGCCGGACGGGAGAAAGGTGGCGTGCTGGCCAGGAGGAGGGAAAAGACAAACACCCATCCCTCTCTCTCTCTCTCTCTCCCCCACATCTTGACCCGCGTGCCTCTCCACAAGCCCCATTCCAGTGGGGACAGATAGGCAGGCCCCCTAACCCAGCTAGGCTTGCGAGGGGTGCCAAAGGGACAGGGCCCAGCCTTCACGTTCAGGAAGCGGATGCCAGAAATAAGCAGGGTGGGGAGATGGTGGCGGGGCACCGCTTCGGAGGCAGCCCAGCCGCAGGGAGCGCAGAGGATGTGGGGCGCCCAAACTGCCGCTTCCGACAAGGCCCAGCAGAGGAAGGAACCAGAGACTGCGCCGGGCCCAGGTGGTCTAGCAAGCGGCAGCGGCTGGGTCAGCGACCGGCTCGTGGCAAAGCTCCTCCATGGAGACGGCAGGGCACACAAATAAGGACATGAAGGGGGAACACCCCCGCCCCTGTCTTAACCCCAGCCCCTGTTCACATCCGAGCTCATAGCGATGCCTGCCTGGACACCCTCCGCCGCCACAGACACACACACACCCCGTTTCTCACAAAGATGCGGGAGTCCAGCATTCAACTTTTCCCGTTCCTGCTTCTTGCAGTCCCAGGAAGATAAAACCGTTTCGGAGTGCAGAAGAAACCAGAGGAGGACAGAGGGGGGCCAGACGCCTCCACGGACTCCCCCCACACAGTCACTGGTGCCGGAGGGGAAGGGAGAAGCCCCCCCCCCAGAAGAAGTCCGAGCCTGAAGGGGCCAAGCGCCAGGGCTCCTGGGGAGGGAGGGAGGCAGCAGCACAGAGACCCGGCGGCAGAGAGGTCCGGGGAGGAGGTCAGAGGAAGGTGCTTCGTACGGCACTGGTCCGGAGCAGTCGAGATCCAGCACTGAAGGGAAGGGAAAGCGGGAGAGAAAAAAGGATACAGGTCAGAAAGGATTCCTCTCCCATCCTCGGGCCAGTGCCCCCCCCACTCCAAAGAGCCCAGGGGGGCAGGCACAGTGAGCGAGTGGACAAACACGCGGGGCGCACGTCTGAGTGCCAACGGCATCACGAACTGGTGCGGTGCAGGTCCCACCGCCTTGCCTGGAAGACGGGCAGCCTGCGCCCGGCTCTTGCTCAACCTGTGCCAAGGGGAGGCTCGCATGCCTGAGGGCGCCTCCGTACAGGAGTCCCCGCAGGCAGAAAGCTAGGGGTGGAGGAGAAGCGTTCCAGCGCAACCTTGGATTTTCCATGAGCGGGGACTTGTTTTTGTACAAAAGCACATCCCTTCCCGAGAGACCGTCCCAGAAGCCCGAGGGGGAATCAGCGGCCCGGGCTTCCTGGCTGGGCCAGCACAAGGCCACGCTCCCCAGAAAGGGTGGGGCGGGGTGGATCCTGGTGACGGACAGAGAGAAGCAGTGCAGGATGAGGCCCAACCAGGCCAGGGTGGTCTAGCGAGGGCTTTGCTGGTAGGAATCGGAAAGGGCCCTGGGAGGAGGGGTGAGTGGCATTCCAGGCTCAAGGAGGCGGAGGAGGAGGAGGAGGAGCTGGTTTTATATGCTCTGCTCTTCACTACCCCAAGGAGTCTTCGAGCGGCTTCCAATCTCCTTTTCCTTCCCCTCCTCTCCACCCTGTGAGGTAGGTGGGGCTGAGAGAGCTCCGAGAGAACTTGTGACTGACCCAAGGTCACCCCAGCTGGCTCAGGTGTTCCCTCCCTCCCTCCCTCTAGTCCTCCCCCTAATACCGCCCCACCCGCCACCCGCCGTATACTACCTTGCAAGTCTATTCCAAGGCATGCCTAGCAGTTGCACTGCTGCCTGGTCTGCGGCTGCGTCCCTCGCGGCTGCCGCAGCTGTCGCAAGGAGGCGTCCCCGTACTGGATGCCTGAGCCCATCCTCTCGGGGTCCAGCTCACCTGTGGAGGAGAGAAGGGGCACCAATGGGGGGGGGAAGAGAGTCTGATTTGCCCCCCCAATGCTTCCCCAGCAAGGAGGCGTCCCCGTACTGGATGCCTGAGCCCATCCTCTCGGGGTCCAGCTCACCTGTGGAGGAGAGAAGGGGCACCAATTGGGGGGGGGGAGAGAGAGTCTGATTTGCCCCAATGCTTCCCCACATATAGAGCAAGGCCGCCCCCAAGAAGTCCCTGCCTGACGTGTCTACCGAGTTCATACCCAGGGATCGCACCGTGTCCCACTGATTCTCCCCTGTTGGAATTGCCAGTTGCTTACACTCCAGTCATTACAGAGTTAAATGTTGTTTGTCAGGAAACAGGATGTTACGTTACATAATGTATTCTACGGAGGGAAAGTTTGTGGGAGTTGCTTAGCCTAATGAAGTGACCTGTAGCCTTGGTATTGGTCAACTAACTACTTGTTTGTGGAAATGCTTTGATCTAGCATTCATGTATTCACAAGGTTTATGGCCCTTTCTGTGAACCAAAGAGGAAGTCCTCTTCTAGAAGCCAAGACAGTTAAAGATGTTAGCATTTAGTACTGAAAGTAACTGCAAGCATGTAACCTTTTATTTTATTTCTTTTATCCAAAGTACCTTACCCATGTTTTATTTTGCTTTTATAGTAAAGATATTTTTCTTTTACTAAGTGTGTGCTCTTGTGTTTGCAATACAACCATCGACCCTGAATCAAAGAATCCCAACACACACACCCCTTCCACCAGGTTTCCGTACCACCCCCTGTACCTGAGTTGCACTTCGGCACCGAGCACCCCAGCTCCACCATCTTGGCCTGGAGGCTCCCAGCACTAGCGAAAGGGCACGACCGGCACCTCCTCTCCCTCGCTCGGGATCCCCGCTTATACCTGGGCCCAGGTTTCCTCACATGGCCCTCCTGGACTTCCCTGCACTCATTCTCACCCTCCCTCCCACTCCCCCCCCCCAATATTTTGCCAAAGAGCTAAGACCAGTGTTCCCTCTAAGCTGAGTTAGCGTGAGCCAGCTCACAGTTTTTTAGCCTCCGGCTCACACGTTTTCATCTCGGCTCAGGAAGGATGGGGCTCCGGAGCAAACTGATTTATGCAGTCATCAAATCACTCACAACTTTGATGCCAGGAGCTCACAAAGCAGAATTTTTGCTCTCAAGACTCCACAGCTCAGAGGGAGCCTTGCCTAAGACCCTTGTCTTGAGAGGGAGGGGTCCTCGGCTCCTGTCCGCTCCCCCCCCCCCAGGGGATTCATTCAAAAGCTGCTCTGCCGTCTTTTGGATATCCGTCGCCAGCAGCCTGGTTCCCTTTTGGTTCGAGTGAAGCCCGTCTTCTTTTGCTCAGCAGAAGAAAAGAGCAAGAGTCCAGGCACACCTCAAAGACTAACAAAATATGTGGTAGGGTATCTTTCGCGAGTCACGGCCAAGGCTCCCTCTAAGCGATTTGGCTACTGCGTCAATCAGCTTGCGCTGGGGCCCCATCCTTCCTGAGCCGAGACGAAAATGTGTGCGCCGGAGGCTAAACAACTCACACTAACCCAGCTTAGAGGGAACACTGGCCGGGACCTGCTCTGCCCCACAACAGCATAGTAGAGAGGGCAGCAGTGCAGAGACAGACCCAGAGCCGTGGGCACGGCTTCCTTCCTCGAAAGGACAGGCTGGCCCCCAACCCAACTTTGGGCAGCACTCAAAGAGTTCCACAAGTAGGGGTGTTCACACACACACACAAATTTGGGATTTCTCAGTTTCAGAAATGATACATTGAACCCAAAAAAATTTGGGACTCTCGCCAACACCCCAAATTTCAATACCAGTGTGGCAGCTGGATCTGGACTTTTCCCGAAATCCTGATCTTTTTTT